GCCCTCCAGGTGATGCTGATGGGTGCTGATGTCTGAGAACCACTACTCTAAAGTCAGAAGGTACTAGACAGCCATGACTTAAACCTTCGGGAGAACTAACAGTACAAACAATTCCTGGTGGTTGAACAGGCTGGAAGGACCCTAACTGGATGGGATTCACCAGCAGTCAACTGCAGTTTTGTCACTAAGATGGTCAGCCAGTCTCTCCTTGGAACTGCCTTGCATTTGTACACGAAGAAGAACGTTGTGTGTGGCGCTAGTGGAGTGGTGGTGGTTTTTCCTCAGTTAATAAGTGGTGCCACTGTTTATAAAGACATCCAGCACTGTTCTCAACTGAGTTTCTCTTATACTATCCCAGGAGATTCTCTCTTTTTCTTTTTGGTCTGTCTTCCCTGAAGTAATAATTGTGTTTCAGAAACCTATATGGTGTCTAGTCCAACACTTTATTAGTTACTTCCACGTCAAATACAAACATTACAATACAAGACGATCTTGCAGACAAACACTTTTCTAGATTGGTCCACTAATGAATGAGGAGAACAGAATTTGTTTTTTTTTTGTTTTGGATGAGGCATAATTATAAATGGTTTCTTCACCAATTTCATAAGTCTTGTCCAACAACAAGCTCATATTTCCAATAAAAAGTGCTTTAAAATAGTCTCTTGTGTTTTAAGGCCACACTAAATCTCACTAGGATCACCTAAGCGGTGCCCAAGCACACGTAAGTTCTGAATTTGCTTTCTGCCCGTTTCCTGGTCTGCAGAGTAAGGAGGGATATTTAGGTGTCATGCACACGGTTACTGTGGGTATTGATCTGATGCCCTCGGTACCTGAATCTTTAAATGATTTTGCCTACCCAGTGCTTCCTCTTTCCAGTGTGCGTTTGAAAATGGTTAGCATTTATTTTGCATATTCTCAAACTTAGATGACGACCTACAAATTTAGTTCTGTATACTTCCCAGGGAAGCAGATAGAGAGGCACTGTTGGCTACGGGGCACTCCGAGTGATTAAATGGTAATCGAAAAAGGTCCGCAATTTGTGCATGTCGTTCCAGAAGCAGACTGCCATGTTTTTCCTGCTAAACAGCTGGCCATGAACAATATTATTCCATCATTTCCACCTAATTGGCAGGTTTTCTAAATTACTACTGAAGGTCTGGTTTCAGGTTAAAGTTCAGATTTTGTTTATTTTTGAACACTCAAAATACTGTCGCATATGATCTTTCTGTGTATAAACACGATCCTTTTCTTAGCCCTTTTAGAAAAATCCCCATAACATTATGGATCTGGGAGATCAATCAAGTGTTTTTAACTCACTTTAACTGTTTAATGCCTTGAGACACTGAAACGTTTCCTTGGTGCAGCTGGAGCACAGCGTAGTATCTAGAGCATGGCCTTTGAAATCAGGGAGACTTCCTGCCTCCAACTTTGCCATTTACTGGTTATCTTGGGCAAATTTCTTAACCTCTCTGGGTCTCTGTCCTCCTCTTAAAAAATGAGGAGACCAATACCTGCTTCACAAGGTTACTGTGAAAATAAAATATGGTAATGTAGGTAAATGTACATTCACAGTGGCACTCGACAAATGTCACCTCCTCCCTGCTGTTTGTAACTTCCTGCTATTGTCATCAGCTCCAAACAGTTAGTTTGGAGGGCCCAACATGATGTTCCTTTCTGAGAAAAAACCTTCCTATATAAGCAGTATTGTGATGTATTTGGGGGAAGTCAAAGGTATCTACTACGTAACTGCAGTTAAGGCTCTATCACTCTTTCGAATGACTCTGTATAAGCCTTCTCCTTGATGCAACAAGAACCAAAAGCCTAGTGGTATTGTTATAAAGAAGTTTCCATGGAAAGGTACTTTTGAACTCTGTTACCATTTTTCATATCTGATTGAAAATATGTTGAGCTGTTATGCATGTTAGCATCAGCCTCAGCTAGTCATTCAATAGTCTAAAAATGGTAAAAGGTGCCTAGTTTCGTACTGATGGAGAAGGCGAGAGAATAATCTCATGGGGAGAGGGCACAAGATGGTACAGAGAGGCAGCCCAAGCATCTTTAAAAGCTGGTCAGGGGATGCAAGAACTAGGAGAGGTCCTATGAACACTCCATAGCCCTCCATCAAATCGGTGCCCTCATGGCACGGAGAAGTCTGAAGAGTGTGATATCCTGGGCCGAGCTGTTCCATCAGGAATCTTGCACACTGAGTTTTCCAGGTGTTCATGATGTGCACTTTACCAAAATATTAGAGAAAGAGAGCCAGTCTTTCTCGTCAAATCTTTGGCAGTAAATACCGGCAACTAAAAGCTACGTGCAAAATCTTATTCTGCCTAGATCTGTAAATATGTGGTGACTGTTTGAACTGCAAAGGCCACCTTGACCTTGGTCTTTCGGAGACCTTGGGGAAAGGCAGAAACTGAGACACGGGAGGAGCGGGAGGGGCTCCCTGGCCAGTCTGGGAAGGGACCCGTGTCTGCCTTTACTGAGGCTTCCTAATGATCTTTTCTTTTCCACCCCGGGAGGATTCAGCTGATTTCATTGTCACTTGAAGTCCTGCTCATTAGAGATTACTGGCATGAAGCAACGTCATTTCTGAAAAATGCAAATACCTCTGGGAAGTGTTGCTGTGACAGTTAATTTTCTGGTTGAACTCTGACGTGGATGCCAAGCAGAGTACGCTGGGAATGAAGGTGGGCTGAAGACAATGTGGGTCCAGGCAGACTACAGAAAAAGTGACAGGCAGGAGGGGACCAAAACCTCTTAAAAAATATAGGCACAGAGCTCTGTGTATTCTCTCATTTCTCCACTCTTGGTACCCACAATCAGGTGAGTCCCAGAGCAGTGTTTGGATAGAGTACGAGGCAAACTTAATTTCATATTCTGGGTCCCAGAATAGAGAATCTGGTGGGAGAATGAATTGTGACTTTTAAATAATTAGTGAACATACTCTGGAACATGGCATTCATAAGTTGAGACTAGCTTCCTTTGAATTTTTATACTTTATAGAAGGTTGCAACATATAAACATTTTGTAATTACTCTACAGAAGTTTTTTCCCCCCAGTAAATTCTGCAGTACTCACAGGAGAACTGAACTTAAGACAAGCTATAAAAAGAAACAGAACAACCATGGTGTACTACTTTTGTAAAAAAAAAAAAAAAAAGTACCTAACTTTCCATTCTACTTACAAAATATAAAAATTCAAAAGCACAAACACAGCTCATTGCTATCCCAACAATTCACTGCTTGTTCTGATCACATGGTTGATCTGTTTCTAAACTCAAGTTATTATCTGATGAGTAAAATCTGAAGGCAAAGAGAGTGCTTTATAGCACTGAAAAAATGTCTTCTGGATTCTGTGGTGATCTTAGGTGGCGTATCGAAAGATACAATCCCTTCTTTTAGATTGCCTAAATAAATCTGCTCTGTCTTCCTATTAACTTTGTAGATAAGCTTACATAGTCTCAAGGAAGACAAAGTTTACAAATACCAGCACTGAGTAGAGTTGTCCATTTCAAATCCTTACTTCAATATCAAAACATTGATGTTCTCTTTTTAAAAGATGACATTATGAATGTATTTTTAGGGGCTAGAAAAATTATAATGTATGTCATAGCAACTAAATTCCACTTTCTAGAATATATATGAATGCGCTTGACTGAGTTTCAATCATTATTATTACAATTTAAGAAATATTAAATATACTATACATAGTAAGATAGAGGTTCCAGATTAATTTTCTAGTAGTATTTAAGAAAAGAAATATCCACTTAAAATATTAGCCTGAATAAAAGAACCTCAGGCATGGGGTAAACTGACCTGCTAGAAAGGAGAACTATTTTAAATTGAAAAACTTAATTTCTTGGATTTCATTGTTATCCCTTCCCCTTTAGTTTTCTTCGGAGACTAGAGCTTATGTAACTGACACCGTAATTTCATACGGTTGCTGCGTAACAGCTGAAGATTAAAATGATTTCATCATAATGTCCTTTCGCACCCCTTCCAGCTGTGTCCCTACCCCACACTTCCTGCCCCTTCCCTGAGAAGTCTGCTCACTGAACGGAGGACTCTCATTCCTTTCCTCCAAGGGTGTTGCATTTTAATGTGTTTTTTTTTCTTAAAAACCAAACGTTATAATTTATGTTCAGATAACTGTAGAGCATAGAAATGTCTGTGCAACGAGGGACTAAGGCACCATTTTTTTCTTTCCCTTTTCTTTTCTGCCTTGGGAGCAAAAGCAAAGATTAATGGGACCGCCCAGGTGGCTGTCCACCTTCTATCTCAGCAATACCTGTATCAGCAAATATCACTGGGCACTGGGTGTCAAAGGCTCCATGACACAGACGGAAACCTCTGCCAGGAAAGCGTTTTCTTCCATTAGAAACAGGGAAATAAAGGCACGACAGTACCTTACACAAAGAAGCTGGTGAGTACCAACCAGAAAATCTTGACAACTTAGGACAATGTTGAAATGTTTGGGAATATTTTACAGAGAAAGTCATCTTTTTCTTGATTATGACACCTTAAAAAAGATACTTTTCTAGCTGTTCTCCACCAAATGCGATCATGATATAAATCTTTCTCCAATGAATAATGTTTGGTATTGGATGTCTGAGTGTTTCTACATCAGCTTGACTTACCAGCAGATATTTTCTTAGCGATTGCATTAAAAAAAAAAAAAAATCAAATGGATCAATGTAGAGTTTTCAAAGGAATGGTCTTTGAAGAGGGACCCATTTGGCAATAACATTGTAGGTAAAAGCACTGGGAAATAAACTTCAAGATTTAGGAATGTGTCAAGGAATGAAGAATCTCTTGAAATGATGCGCAAAATCAGAGTATCACTTGTGTCATCTAGAGGCAGCCTTAGCATCCAGAACGGCCCCAAAGCTGACCAGCGAGGGAGCGGCTCTGGCTCTCTGAGCCTCTCGTTTCAGCGGGGCTGACTGGCAGGCGGCACCCTCTAACCCTCGCTGCTAAACTCCGACCTGAGTCCCCTACACTATGATGTCGTAGACGCGGCCCACTCTGCCGAGCCACTCTCTCACAGCCTGGCGAACTCTGATGTCCGTCACATGGCAGGTCAGCTGGCTGATGCACGGGAACACCGCTGGCTGGAGGGCCGTGAAGGTCGGGTCTGGAAGGATCTGAATCTGATTGAGGACTGTTAGCACCATGTTGGTCCACGCCTAAGGGAAAGGATTTACGAGAGTTATCGGCTTTCTCCTGTGGTTCCGTTTGAATACTCAGGAGTGGCTAACCCTGACAATTTGCAAATGAGTTTTCTCAGGCTTTTAGGCTGTAATAAATTAGTCTTTACTAATAAATTGTCATTTTAACTTCATATACACAGGGACTTACCTAACAGTACAAGTACTTTATTTTCAGCTTTCATAAACTACACAAATCTTATTTACTCCTCAGTTTTAAAAACTCTTTTGTTTTTCATAATGAGATTTCCATAGGATGTATAACGCTTTTAATCAGCAGTCACTCTAATAATGCCTAGAAAACTGGGAATAGGTCTACTTTAATTTAGGATAACTTTTAAAATCATAGGCAAATCGCCAAGATATGAAAAACAATTATTAAGATATGTTATTTGTTGAGAAGGTATCTGCTAAAGAATAATCATACATCACAGTTTGATTGGACTTTTGCAAATCTAGTCTATGGTTTTTGTGGATTCTGAATTATGAAGTTGAGTTCTATGTTCAAGATACTTTAGAGGAAAACAACGCATCTTGCAAGGGATTCATACTAATTTTAAATGTAGTCATTCAAAGAATACATTATAGTCCATGGGATCCTAGGGCCCAGGACAGTCTTACTATTATTATGCCTGTGGCAGGAATCCAAAATTTAAGGAAAACATCAGATTATTTTTAAAGGGCTCTCTATGGCTCCAGATCCCACTATACCCCTCCCCCCCATCTCATCTATTCTTAAATTGAACAAAACAGCACCAACGGTGTTTTCCCTTCAAGCTCATTTTTTGATGTACGGCGGGATTACGAATATTAAATACAGGAAGGACCAGGCACACTCACAGCCCTCCGGAGAATGAGAATTTGTATGTGCTCCGGGTGGGTCAGAAAAACCTGAGATGCAAACAATTCGTTGGTTTAACCACCGAGTACTGTGCGCTTTCCCTTTCTCCTTTAATGCTTCATCACTACAGAATTTCCTGAGACTCGGGACTCCGTGCCAGCTAAAGCACACCCATTTCATAAGCTTTAGCTTCATCTTATTTCTCAGTAATATTTGTTTTAACCCACAAAAACGATGCCTGAAATGATCTAATGGTAACACGTCGGTTTCACAGCGACACCCCGATGCAGGCGGACCCTGCGTCTTAGTCTCAGGCAGCCCTGGGACTCTGCGGGGGAGGCGGGTCTCCTACTGCTGTCAGTCAAACTCCCGAAGGGGGCGTGCCCATCCCTGGAAACCCAGCCTGCCCCGCGCCCGGGAAAGCGCCCCGCCCCGCCCGGCGGCGCGCGCACCC